ACTTTAAATAGCAGTTATATAATAGTGTAAACAGCAGTTAAATAGATGCTTGTCTTGCGCTCTCTTTTGGTTAATTGTGTTAAATGATTTTCTGAAAATCCTAGATTACAAAACTGTTAATCAAGAATTATGGATATATTTCAATTTTTCACATAACATTTATGGAGACGTATGTTAGAAGACACTTCTACGTCGAATTGGATAGATAGACGCATAATTGCTATTTACTCAAATTGAACTTTATGTTAAGTTACATTATTTCATAAAGTCTTAACATCTCAAGATAGGTATATCTGAACATTTTTGTTACAGTTATCGTGTTTTAAATAAAATTACTACCATCGAATTCAAAGTAATCAGTAAAAATTAATTAGGTGATAATTAGGTTATTTATTAGTAAACACACGAAAAAAAAGTGAATGTACTCGTATATTGATATTATCCACAGATAATAATATGTATTTACTTACAAAAACCTAATAATATAGTTATTATTACTACATCCAATGAGATGTTAAAAAAGATTTTCTTTTCAACTGACAAAAATACCAAATTTGCCAGTTCTAATTCAAATATTATTTATTGCAGATAGTTTTTATTAACCTCTTAAAAGCTTATTTTTATATAAGGCAGGTATTGTGATTAATATACGCAGACCTATTTCTTATATCAATTTTAAAATAAAGACATTAAGTACTTCATTGTCTGTAGACAAAAGGGATTTTTGAATAAGAAGTTAATCACATAGTACACCGTCATATGTTAATTTTAATATTCTTTGACTCAAGTTCCACGTCTGTCATACTGTGTTGTCACCTAATCATAGCTCTACTACTGGTTTCTACTATTATAATTTATGCACCAAATAGAAAATATAATGTTCCAATGTATTTAAAAGTAAACGAATAGTTTTTTCGCATTTAAATGGCAAAAATTGCAGCGATAAATATGATTTTATTTAGAAGAATTATTTAATTTATAATAATCTAAATTAATGATGTACTCTAATTCTGAGAGAGTATTAATAACTATAAATCTTAAAACTCTCTTTCAATACCAACAATTTTCAACCCTAGTAATAATCAAGTTTTTCAGTCTTCAGTCTTCTCTCTCTTAAAAAGTAGAGAAGGAAAAAAGTTTGAGGGACCAAAACAAATCGTGAAAATAATAGAACATGCTATTTTGAAGTGTCTTAATGTTTTAGGATCAATCTTGTAAAAATATATTCCTTGATTTGGGAATATATTTGCAGTTCCTAAACTAGAAAAGTTTTTTTAGCTCCCATACTCCATCTACCTGCCATATTTGCATATATAATTGTTTACCTTATCTTCATAAAGCGCAATGATAAATGATGAAATCGTAAAAGTTTATATTGCCTTCTTGAGTCTTAAAAACAACTGGAAACAATGAAATCGATACTAAAAATCGTTGATCGGTTAATAACCCGAAGGTACTTCAATTTGTAATAATTATATGCAATACATTAATAAACTTTTAAAGGGGTATACTAGTGCATTGCATTATTGTTTTTTACACGTTCTATGAGTTTGACAATTAGTAAAACAGCGCAATATGATTAATGACCATAAACTTATCGATAAACAATATTTTATTTGTAATTTTACAAGTATTTTATTTTAAGTTATTTGCAAATATTTTTTTTTTATATATTATTTTTTTTATAGTTTAAAAAATTTTAAAAATTACTTCACCTCAGTTCATTTTTTATTTTTGCAATTGCATACTTGATTGCTTTATTTTTTTTCCAAATATAAAATTAGCTTATGATAAATAATGAATTTATTTACATTGAACCTGTTTTAATAACTTTAACATGAATAACATTGAAATAACATAATTGCATTTCATACTAAGTAAAATTTTCCAAACGTAGACTTTATTGCTTGGTTTTAGGTGATTTTCATTGAAGTTCACCTATTGTGCTTGGGGATTATGTCAAGGTGTTGCCCTTTTGTATAGTTTATTAATATTTTTCATTATCTACACTAAATGTTTGTTGTTTTAAATAAATAATTAAATCTTACCGAGAGTAGTAGGTCTAAAAGTAGGTTATCTCTTTAACAGAGAGTTAGCAAATAAGTTGTAATATCGAACGTAGTTTATCGAGTCTTATTTCTTATTCCCATATAATATGCCCACTTTGGTATTTCTTTCGTGTATGCAATTACAAAAGGATTTTAAATGTGAGAAAGAACAGATTTAGTGATCGTGAGAAAGAATGCTAGAATTATCGAGTTGAAAAACAATGTATTTAAGATCTATCATTGTTAAAGCAATAAGGAATTCTATAAAACTTTAATCCTCCAGAAATGCTTAAGGATCATTTAGATGGTGCTAGTTAGAATCTGTAGAAATCTATGAAAAATAATATTATTACTAACAATCAACATACTTTAGCTTTTTTCTCTCCTGAATTACAAAAACCTTACCTTTAAAGATTTTATAATCAATTGAGAGTTTATCTTAAGTTTTAATCAATAGATTTAAATGTTATTTGTATTTTTTGTTTATTACGAGCTCTGGTCTTACGTATTTTCTTAGTAGTGTTCTGTATTGTGATCTTAAACAAAAACATCTATATGATTCAATATTTATATTAACTTCATGTGGATTTACTGTATCGGTAAGTAAACACAATTGCTCGTAATGTATTCATTAGTAATAAGTTATCTGCTTGATTGTATTTTTAATGTAAGACGTTTTGATATATAGATATAGATGTATAAATGAATTTCAAATTTTCATTATACTAGAAAATCATTTTTGACAACCATATTAATTTTAATTTGCTTCCATGCATAAGAATGAGTTGCATTTGAATTAAGTTGAGTTTTCTATTAGACAGCTTCTTATATTTAAATCGTGGAACTTCATCAAAAAAGTTTTATGGATTTAATCCCTAAATTGTATTTTATATAAAAGATAATAGAAATCTTTTATAAATTTCTATTTTATAATAATAATAAATAGTTTTTTAATTATTCAAGTCTCGCCCCACAATTTTACAATATTATTGATGTTGTGCGTGTATAAATCGGTCAGGTGTACGAAACCCTTGAGGGACCAATTCAGGACACATTTTTGCAATGTCTGAGTCTTGTGGCCTATTTATCACCATTCCCTTTTCCTAATCTTAATTCAGATGGTCTTAGGATACTAACTAAATCATTGTCTGTATGACACAAATATATTGTACAGCATCATTATAAATAATACATTTTTATTATAAGATCACATTATTTGCACCTAACAATTTACTTCTAAAGTTTTCTAAACGTCTGATAAGTAATTTAATGCTACTTATAAAATAAATATCAATTTAGACATTAAACGGTTTACAATGATCGTTGTAGATTGTATCTATGTAATAACATTCACAGTCTATATGTAGCTGTAATTAATGTCTCTGAAAAGAGATTATTTTCTATCGTCATGTAAAAAGACTGATGTTTTCAGATTCTTTCATTTCCTACATTTAGAAGAAAAGTAATTAAAATTATATCAGAGTGTATAAAAAAGGACTTTATAAGGATTTCTAAGCTCTGAGTAAAAACATACCCCTTTGAATTATTGAAGATTAATTTAAGAAGTTAAAATATATAGTAATCGTGGTGCTTGTTGCAAATAATACTTCGAACACTTTCTTTCACCCTTCAAAACTTCGAATGAAAACATCTTAACATTGATATTAAACATTAAATTACTTTTTTTATTATTTTGTGTTTAAAAGCTAAAATGTTTATGATTATTATTAAATTATCTCTTTTTGTTTTGTTACTGTATAAAACCACATTATTTTTTTTGTTGTAGATGATCTCAATAGCATAAATAAATTCCTTCAATTGTTTTACAGTATCTATTGTACTTTGCTTTAAAAATTGGACAGTAAGTCATATATTATATGTGAAAACATATTGCACGAATATGAAACATTTTCTTTATAGAGAATATATATGGAATCGATCAACGAAGTAGATCTTTAATAAATATTTTTAACTTTGAACATAGAGAATTTATTACTAGGGGGGGTTGATAATTTTATAGTCTGAGTGTTAAAATGGTTGAACGTCTTATTGCCATTTTACTACTTTTACTACTATGTCTACTTTTTTTATTTTAATCCTCTTCATTTAAAAAGTTCTGATGAAAAACATTTTAATCATAAAATCGAATATATAACTATATAAAGTATTTAATAAATTTTTGTAAATATTAATATCGATCTTTATTGTTTATATGTTTTTATTTTAGATTTTCTTTTTGGTCTCAAGATGTTTTTTTTGTTTTATATTACTTTAAATAATATAAAAAAAAACTATAAATAAAAGTACTAATTTTATTTGAAAACTTTAAACTAAATAAATTTTTAATATATTTATAATAGATATTTCATCTGTTATAAATAACATCTTCGGTATTATTTAATAATTAATACAAATAAATAATGTAGAAAAAATAAAACAGAAGTATAATAAAATAAGGC